GCCGGAGGCAACCATAAGGGGTCAGCTAATAAACCCAAAAGACCCACTGCCACGGCATGAAATATCTGGAGTCGTCTATAGGATCTGGTGCAGTTGGGAACAAAGTATCTGCGTCGGAGAAATTGGAAGACTTCTCAAGACGCGAATGGTCGAAAACGCGGCAACAGTGCGTTCAAAGGACGCCAATTCTCAAGCTGATGAGGCCAAAATTCTCGCGGGAGGTGACAATCGTGTGAGTTGCGAGTTACTTTATTTATGGTTCACGGAGTCCCGGTCTATAAACGAGGGCAACGACCAGCTAAATCCATATTGGGTGCTGAGGTTCAATTTGGCCAAAGCAAGCCACTACTTGGGGAACACACAGACCAACGCGTCGTCTAACGCTAGCATCAGCGAACCAGATAGCTGAGCAGTCATCACATTAATTTCTACCACCTGTGATGAGAGTCAAGCAGGTCACGGCACGCACGCCGACCATCAAGCAATTAGCGCACAAACGGGCAATTATCCTCGATAGGGTAATCATTAATTGTCCCAAGTTTGCAGCATCATAGCGACTGTATCCTATGAATACTGAAACTCCTTGTGCATGAATTACCCGTTTCTTTTCTGATCTCTGGTTAAGGACCCGCGACGGATTTCGGAACGTCAGGCGAATTAAATGTTTGGCAAGAATGATTAGTGAGGCCTACAAAATATTTTCGACCTATAATGAAAAACTGCCCCCTTCTGTTCAGTGGGTATACTTTCCGTTTTCTTCCGCCGCGGATTCGCTAAGGTGCAGGAGTTGGTTCGAGCGCGAATTTTCGTCCTCCTTCGACTCACACGTTTCACCGCTCCCACCTAACCATAGTCTCAGTGACCTTGCCCAAGGTCTGCGGACATCCACCCCCACTTACGCGCGCTCACCTTTGATCCAATTGGGGTTAGTAATAATATTAAAAATGCGCCTCATTGACCTCACCCGAGGTCACCTACCACCCCCCCCAATCTTACACGCGCTCACCTTCGCCCGAGGTCAGCGAACATCCCCCAACTTACACGCGCTCGCCATTGGTCCAGTGGGATTAGTAATAATCTAAACAATGTTAAAGAGTATGTCTTCTGAGCAGAAGGAAGTAGTTTTTTCATTATAAGTCGAAAATAGTTGTTGGCCTCAATAATCATTCTCGCCAAATTTTTGTTCCAACGGTCACATCTACTTCTTTTCAGTGACTTCCTGGAACACGTATGTTTGCTTGTATTGACAATTACTTGTCA